AAAAAAAAAAAAAAAAGAAAGAAAAAAACAGTTATGTAAATTATATAAATACCTGGTCCCTATTTGGAGTCCAGAGGTCAAAGTTAAGTGTTGACGCATGTCTGTTTGGTGCTGCAAAAGGAGACAATGATGTTTAAAGCTTAAGGTGTTAAGGCCTAGGTGATAATTGGCATGACACAATTTTTCTTAAATACTAAAATGTGTTTTAGGTTTATATTGTGCTTTTCCTTTGAATTCTAATTACCTTCCTGGCAGTACTAAATAGAAAATAAAATCCAATTCAAGAAGCAGAAAGGACCAGAGAAAGAATGTAGATATAGCAAGAGAGAATAGGATAACATAGACTGAGCATTTTTATATTACTGAAGAATAGATTTTTAATTTTAGATTTGCCCTTAGAATTTCTGCTAGTATTTTTATTTCAGGGCTGGTTTGATTAACTAGAAGCTGGAATACCTCTCTAAGTTGATTGGAATCTGTGTCATCTGATCACTGTTATTTTAGTGTTTCAAAAATATATTGCAAATATATTGTAGTGCATGATAGAGTTTTAAGACTTAAAGCATCTTGGATACCGTATTTTACAGTAATAACATCATATATGGTAGACAGAAGTATTTTTCTTAAAAATTTTTTTCCCTTCCTTTACAGAATGCTGCCTTTTTATATGGTCTTGGTTTGGTCTACTTCCATTATAATGCGTTTCAGTGGTAAGTCGACATAAAACCAGTAATTCCAGTTGATTTCAGTAAATGGCTTGTTTTCTTGTTTTGTTTGTGCTTGGTGTGCGCGCGCGTGCGCGCGTGTGCGTGCGTGTGCGTGTGTGTGTGTGTGTGTGTAATAAATACAGAATATATAGTGTTGTTAAACCTACACTTTTCAGCAGTGTCTTAAAATGATTAGATTGTTCCTTCAAGGGTGTTGGCTCACCTTAGATTTTTAGAGTCGTATGTTTTCCTAAAAGGATCTAGTATAAGATTCTGTTGAAGAAGACTTAGATTAGAAAGCTTTTTGGAATTTCTCAGTCATTCATTATGGACTGGTATTCCCCAGGTTATTTGAACTGGTGAATGACTGTGATCTCCAATGTCAAGATATGTGGGTAAATGATCTATGATGGCTAGTTTTCAGACTTCTAGACAAGATTGACTGCTTCTCCCTGCCACATAACAAATAGCACTTTCCAATATCCAGTAACTAGGCACCAGATCATAAACTCTTAGTTCTCTGTAAAACAATAGTACCACTTCAGAGTTGGAGATTAAATATAATAATACATAAGATTTTCTAAACTGTAAAGTGTAGTACCCTGTTATATTATTGCCTTTGCCCCATTGATTCTCCTTTTACCAGACAATAGTATGCGCTAACAGAAAAAAAAGTTTTGATTGGAAGATTGGTATTGTGGTCACAACATTGGCACTTAGTTTGATCTTGAGTTAAATAACTTCTCTAAGTCTGTTTCCTCATTAGTTTATTTATTTTTATTTTATTTATTTTTGAGACAGGGTGTCATTCTGTTGCCCAAGCTGGAATGCAGTGGTGTGATTGCAGCACACTGCAGCCTCAACCTACTGTGTTCAAAGAATCCTTCCATCTTACCCTCCCTAGTAGCTAGGACCACAGGCACATGCCACCATGCCCAGTGAATTTATTTTTATTTTTATTTGTACAGATGGGGCCTCCCTGTGTTGCCCAGTCTGGTCTTGAACTCGTGGTCTCAAGGCATGCTCCCACCTTGGCCTCTCAAAGTGCTGAGATTTGCAGGCATGAGCCACTGTGCCCAGCCTCCTCATTTGTTTAAAAAACAAAATTACATAGCAGTCACATGCCTTTCTTGTAGAGTTTTGATGATCAAATGAGATATTGTACATTTTATAAAATGTAAACCCGATGTAGACTTTTTTTCTTTTTTAAGTCTCTCTCTGTCGCCCCAGCTGGAGTGCAGTGACACGATCTTGGATCACTTGTAACCTCTGCTTCCCAGGTTCAAGTGATTCTCCTGCTTCAACTTCTGAGTAGCTGGGATTACAGGCACCCGCCACCATGCCTGGCTCATATTTTTGTATTTTTAGTAGAGATGGGGTTTCACCATGTCGGCCAGGCTGATCTCAAACTCCTGACCTCAAATGATCCTTTGACCTCAACCTCCCAAAGTGCTAGGATTACAGGTGTGAGCCACTATACCTGGCAATATTTTTTATTTTTAGTATATCTGACCTTTTCAGAGTTCTTCTGTACTCTAGAATTTTAAGCTCAGGAGTAAATTCTGTGGGAGTCCAAAGGAAGAATCGAGTATTTGGCAAAATGTTACAACTCTGTCATATACCTGTTGGGCACCCTGAATACTTACCACAGAACATACACATATGCATTGACAATGATTTTACATGGTTTCCCTAAAGAGGAGACTTTATACATGGATGGTTTTCCCAGTGTCCTTTTTCTTCTCTCTTAGCTTTTGGTCTTGTTGGCTTTTGATCATATGTGGAAGCACGGCTTTGTTAGAGAATATCTGTGTGTATATAGTGTATTATAATGATTCACATCACTGATTTTCTTTGTAAATCTTACAGAAGTGTAATTGATCTTTATGAAGAAGCTTTGTAATTTTATTCTCTTAAATTATCCTTTGCTTAATCCTAAATAAAGGTTCCTAACTTCATGTTCAGTGTATTGTATTTAAAACCAAAGATAGATTAGGACTGTTTTAAAATATTTTTTAATAGCTTACTTATAGAATTCAGAATTCTAAATTTTTAGAATTAGAAGTAGTCTTAGAGATAATTTAGTTTTTCCCCCTTAGTTTTGTAGATGGAGAAAGCGTGTGTGTGTGTGTGTGTGTGTGTGTGTGTGTGTTTGTATGTGTTACATAACTGGTGAATGGTAGAAGCAAGCTTATGCTCGTATTCTCCAAATATTTTATCCCCAGGTTTTAAGATTGATAGGTGGTTATTTAATAAGTATTTGTGGTTGTTCACTTGAGCACATTGATTTAATCTTTACACGAGCTAGAAATAATTTTTGTGAAATCTGAGGGGAGGAACTCTACAGTTCTACCCCATACCAGCCAGTTTTCACATACCTGTGGTAAACTTATAAGCCTCTCTATGTACTGAAGAGAAGAACATAAAATTAGTAGTGAGGTGAACCTGTTTGTAGTTAACATGTTGATTGCTTTAATAAGCATGTGACCATGTTAAGTTAGCAGGCTTCTAGCTGTGATTCCTTATCTATACATGATTTCTGTATTTTTCAGTTGACCTAAGAAATGAAACAGAATGACATAAGGACAATGCAATGTCTGAATTAATAAGTGCCCCTTACTCTATTGATCCTGTCCTGGTTTCCATCATTTTCTCATGTCTTGAGTTTTAATTCTTATAGCTGCTTCCTAAAATGGTACATCTCACACCCTATCTTATGAATTCACTCTGGCTATGTTTTTTTCTTGCTAATCAAATGTTTTTTCACAAATTATGCCTCACATTTCTGCTTTAACTTGCTATTTCTTTAACAGCTATAAAATTAGAAAGTATGCAGTAGGTGCTTGGTGATAGTTTGAGTACAGCCTTAATTGATAGGAGCTTATTTAGGTTAAAACTACTTTTTTTGTTTTATTTGTAGATACCTGTTGATTACTGGGATCAGGAACTTTTTTAGTTACATGTCAGGTGCTCTGGGATTTATTGAGAAATGTTTCTAGGGATGAGTATGGGTTTTTGTTTTGGATTGTCAGCATGAGGAATCTGCCTATGATGTTTCAGAGTGTTGTATCTCTGGTACATTTATAATTTAAGTAAAATTTGGTATTTGCTAATGGTGTCTGTTGGCATTTGATGATAATGTGTGTAACCAACGTGTGTCTGAGTTGGTGACTTAAAATATTGAGAGCAATTTTTTTGACTGTAGTATTACTGTTAACCTATTGTCATGTTGTGCTACCTGTATTTTCTTTCAGAGTTGATTTTATTGGTTAGTCTCTAGATAGTTCAATTATTTGGTCAGTTTTTCCAGTATCAGTTGCAGCCTCTTCTTAGAGGAGCCCATGTCAAGTAGTACATTAGATCAACTGTTCCATCTTCATTGGACTTAATGGTAACAACTACACTGGTATCTTGCCCAGTAATCTGGGACCAAACTTAAAAGATGTCCAGACGGATAAAGGAAGACATAGAAGCAGAGTGTAAAATACATGCAGCAGAGTGCTAGAAACCAGTCTTTAAAAGGTCATTCCTTTACACGTGCATGCATGCATGCCCCTGCATTCACTTGTTCTTATTTGTTAAGGTGGCTAATTGCTAGGGGATACCTTGGACTGAGCTCCTTGCCTTTGGAAAGAAACCTATATCCTAGGGTGAGAGTAAGTGAAATAGAAAGAAAGGGAAAGTTAGACTAAGAAAAGATAGTTGAGGGAAAAAAAAGTCTTTTGACAGCACAATAGAAATCATTCTTCCTAGTACAGCTTATAGCCATCTCTCTAAATATATCTTCCTAAGAATCCTTATTAACTATCTCTGTCCTGTAACCTTTCTTCGTTCCATTGATCAATATCAGGGTGGTCTTAGGGCAGCAAATGTAAGAGATACTGGATTTTGGAAATTAAGCTCCCAAATATAATTGACAGGCCTAATAAGGAAATGTGATAATTATCACTTTGATATCAAAAAGGGTTAGGAGAATGAGGTAGAGATGAATTTAGAAAGACAGAAGTATTAACATATTACTAGTAAAGACCTCCTTTTCTTTTTTTCTGATACAGGATCTCACTGTGTTACCCAGGCTGGAGGTACAATGGCATGATCATAGCCCACTGCAGCCTCAACCTCCTGGGGCTCTAGTGATCCTTCTACTTCAGCCTCCCGAGTAGCTTGGACTGCAGACTTGAGCCACTATGGCTGGCTAATTTTTTTGTAGAGATGTGGTCTCACTGTGTTGCCCAGGCTGGTCTTGAACCCCTGGGCTCAAGCAATCCTCCTGCATTGGCCTCCCAAAGTGCTGGGATTACAAGTGTGAACCACCAAGCCTGGTGTAAAGTTTCTGTAGGATTCATTTCTATAGCACTGTACTAGTCACAAGTGTTCTTAGGGGTATAGGAATTTCTGCTCTCCTGTAGAGTCACTACTTTGGGTACAGTAAAGAAAAAGAATAGTTCTTATGGCTTTTTGGTGGAACAAAAGAATAATGCAACATATATCTAATGCATGGCAATATCATTGATTCTGAGGCTTGTCTAGCATGGAGCCTGGCAAACATCTAATTATATTTTTGAGCTATCATGATTCAAATATGCTCTTATATTTCTATTAAAATTAAGCAGTTGATGTTGACATGTTTTGAGTTTATTATATACACTTTTATTTCAGAAAATAACCAGCAGATTTAACTAAGGCAGTTCTGATAAAGTTACACTTAAATAGTGATAGTAGATGGCCAGAGAAATTTTGAAAGGGATTTAATTAATTAGGCTTCAGGGAAATTATGAATAAAAACTTAAATCTTGCAATAGGGTAGGGAAAAAAAAATAATCCCACTCCTGAAGTGATGAAAAGAAGAGTGGGTAGTGAGGGGAAAAGAACCAGGACAGGTGATATATTAGCAACTGTCAGTGTGAATAATCCAGGGCATGGTATTTCTTTTTTTTTGAGACGGAGTTTCACTCATGTTACCCAGGCTGGAGTGCAATGGCGCGATCTCGGCTCACCTCAACCTCCGCCTCCTGGGTTCAGGCAATTCTCCTGCCTCAGCCTCCTGAGTAGCTGGAATTACAGGCACGCACCACCATGCCCAGCTAATTTTTTGTATTTTTAGTAGAGACAGGGTTTCACCATGTTGACCAGGATGGTCTCGATCTCTTGACCTCGTGATCCACCCGCCTCGGCCTCCCAAAGTGCTGGGATTACAGGCTTGAGCCACCGCGCCCGGCCCGGCATGATATTTCTAATTTAGCCTCTCATTTACGGTCGTTCCTGTTTCAACCTCAAATGATCCTTCTAGCCTACTGCTCCCCTGAATATTAATAGAGTCTTTGTGCCAGTCACACTGTATTAACGTTTCCCTGAAAACATCTTAAGCATTTTTTTACCTGTTTGACTTTGTGCCATTTACTGTTTAATCTGCCTTCTTTCATCTCCATCTTTTAAAATCTTACCTCTTACTTCATCAAATCTAATTGTCTTATTTAGAAATAATCTCTAAATTTCCTGATATGTATGTATATCTGTGTTATGTGTGTATGTGTTATAACTGAATTAGAGCTAAAATATTCTTTTATTAGTATGAAAATTTGTGGAATTAGTTGATTTATCCCTTTATATATCTCTATGAGAAATCTCTGATTCAGCTTATTAGCCTCAGAGAACTTAAAGTTTTATTATGTGTCTTTCCAAATGTGCTGAAACTCTGCTAAGAATGTTAATATTATTATTTTTGCTGTAGTTCTAGAGAAGGCTTTAGAAATCTTACTAAACATTACCATTATGAAATATATTCAGCACACGTGTATGTTTTTTGTAGGTAGTGTTATTGAGGTTTTAGCTTTATATCATTTTCTTTTTAAAGTTGTTAACAGTGGCAAACAAATGAAAAAAATCTTTAAACTGAAAATCTATAGAAATTATTTTGGTGATATAAAAACTACATTTTTCAGATTTTAAGAAAAATGCCAGTGATACCATGCAGAGCAGTATGTACGTCTTTATTTCATTAGAGAAAATATGCTTTAAGTATTTGAAAACTGTAAACCTTTCCAGGCATTGTATCATAAAAGTATTTACGGTTTTTGGTAGCTGTTTCTCATGTTTTAAAATTCTCTGTCAGTCAGAATTCTGAGGGTAGCAGAAACTGAATGTGTTGATGATTTAATCTAGTTTGTGCTACAGAGATCATGTTCTGGCCACCTCCATTTTGGTGAAATATGAATGCAGTAAGCTGATGACCAAAATTAGAATGTAGTCTGAGTGTTCTCTATCCCCACCTCCCCAACTCTTAACTCTAAACTCTTAACTCCAAATCCAACTCTCCTTCTACTTCCTTCTCCCCATCCCGCAGTGGTTTTATTTCTTATTTATTTTCTTATTTGTTTTTCTTGTGATGGAGAAAACTGAAGACACACACAAGAGAGGAACATGGATAAAAGTCTAGAAAAGAAAATGAACTTATATACTCGAATAATGTGTTTTGTGTTAGATGAGAAGAACTGATCAGTAAAGAAGTCCCATCAATTAACTGTAAACACGATGGCACCAGTAAACATCTATTAAATTTAAACCTTTTGCTTTATTATTTTAGGATATTAAACATAGAAGAAAAATACAGGCCTCAAGGAATAGACTTGGAAAAACTGGAGACAGCACACTGATACGTAGTGAATGAAATGATTTGATTACAAAGTAGGCCTAACTGCTGGTTTACACTAAGCAAGAAATAGTCGTTGTCCAGTTCAGGTGGTGTGTCTTGACGATAATAGTGGGTTTAGAGGGGAGTGGAAGAATCAAAATATTACAGATTAGGAGAATTAGTAAGGAAAAGCAGTGAAGAGAACCGATGTTTAAGAATTCCTGAGATAAGCCAGTTCATAGCTGAGGAGGAGCAATAATAGGGCATAAGAGGAAATGTAGTTGAATAGGTACACATCTTGAGTACAACATGGAGATTTTATTTATAGTATCGTAGTTATTAGGCAAACACAGGAGCCACATATTTAAGGCAATATGTACAAGCTAGAGCAGAGCAAGGAAAGTCCTTAAGGAGACTATTTCAGTAATCTAGTAATGAGATACAGAAGCAGAAGATTGAGTCTGTAAGGTATTTGATTACAGACAAACATTGAAAGAACAAGGAGGAGAACCTTGATTTTATATATATAGGTTGCACCTTGTCCTGGGCACTTAATAGTCTTTAAAGAGTAAACATAGACCCAGATCGCTGTGATTTGGAACATGTGTTTTTGCTTATCGTTAATTAGTGTTTTTTTAAAACCCCAGTTAACAGAGAACATGTTAAAATCCATGTTTCTTTGCCTCTGTGTGACATTGTGAACTAAGTGGAAAAGATATCTGTGCTAAAGACACCTATGGAGTAAAATACATCCACAAATACTATGTTTAGGAAAAAGACTAGAAATAGAAACTGAGAGTAGGAAATATTGCACCTGAGGGGCTATTTGTGCTGTGTTCCTTCTCCTTCCCTTCCTCACGTACTCTTTGTTATACCTTCTTTCTTAACGGAATTCTTTATTACTTCTTTATTTCTTTCCACTTTAATTCTTTTTCTTTCATATCTTTGACTCAGGCCTGTCTGGGTTTTTTATTGGCATGTGTGGACATTGCTTAGTTCTGACTCATTTCATTAAAGAGTTTTCTGTCATATCATAAGGTAAAGTTGATTAAGAAGCATTATCCATAATTTTATTATTGTAAAATATAACATACCTACAGAAAAATGCATAAATCAGTGTATATCTTAACATGTTTTTATTAAATAAACATTCATATAATCACCACCTGGATCAAGAAAAAAAATACTGCTATCACCCCAGAAGCTTCTAAAAGCCTTTGTATACCCTTTCCCAGTCACGCCATATGTTTTAATTGGCACCATTTATTGCTGCATTTGTTCTCGCCCTAACCCCTTTGATGCCTTTTCCAAACATGTGACTTGCCCCAACCCCACAGTGTACACTGATTGAGAGAAGTAGGAAGCTGCCTTTCAATGAGAATGGTAATCTACCACAGTTATTTCCTTTAATTCTCCTCTCCTGCCTCAAAGCCTATATACATCAGATAATAAAACACACGCATACCCCACCTACTTTAAAAACCACCAAACAGGTGGATACCCAGCTCCCCTTCAAGAAAGTTAAGTACTGTCATAATCAGGGTAAAGGTGTCTGATGCCAGACCTGTGTTCCACCCTTCACTGCCATCTGCAATAAACACTGCCTTTTAGAACTCTTAATTTTATAGTAAACATGTACATAACCACTCATATTTTTGGGGGAAGTAAATAATGTATGAATCCATCAAAGTAAAGTTACTAAAGACATGAAGTATTATTTTGCTCTATTTTGTGGTTATGATGTTTTGAACTATTTTATACAAAAGATTGTTTTTGTTTTGAAAGCATCTAAGATTCTAAATAGCCAGTTGTGAGGTCTGTGGGGTAGAGATAATTTATTAAAAGTTTTGCAAAGAATATATTAGCTTGTGCTTGGAAGAAGCTTTAAATCATGTAGAGGAATCTAAAATGATACTGAATATACTGTTATATCTGATATGATGTTCAAAATTCAAAGTAGACATTTTTCTTTGTCATTATTTTAATATTTACTTTTGAGTAGGTAATGCATTCACATGATCAAATTAAACAATATAAAAATGTATTCAGTGAAAAGTGTTTCTTTCCCCAACCCCTGAAGTTGTTCTGTTGGTAATCAAAACCTTTTGTAAAACATACAATGTGAATTTGGGGCAAAGATAAACTGATAGATGAAGAAAAATGAAATGGAATAGAGAAGTAGACCTACACAAATATGGATATTTGATTTAGGACAAAGTAGCACCATAGAGTTTAGAGTAAGGATGATCACTTCTACAAATGATCCAGGGACTATTGGATATCAGTTTAGAAAATATGAAGACGGTTTCTTAACCTCACATAGTATAAAAGATAAGGTACAGATGGTTTGTAAGCCTAAATATGAAAGACAGAAATGCAAAATTTTAGAAGACATTTTTTTTACAGTAGACTAGAAGCAAGATTAATCCCTTATCCTTAAAAACTTTCCTGTCTGCCCGACCCTGTTTTCCCCTAGGAAATTCCAGAAACAATGAAATCAGTTATTTATACTGATAATTTGATTAAACCATGAAATATTGTCTGTTTGAATAATTGAGAGTAAATTCAACTGATCTTCCTTCCCCCTTATATTAAATTAGATTATATACATTTAATTATATAAAAGGTCCATGTACCCCTTTCCAATTTTACTTTTTTAGTATTTATTAACATCATTTTTATAAAACCAACATTTCCTTTAAAACAATATTGCATAAAACAGAAGTTTTACTGTACTACCAAGCAGAAATTCATGCGCGTGTTAAAAAGTTAAGATATCTTATGTCTATATTCTTTCAGGGCAATTAAAGCATTTCAGGAGGTGCTTTATGTTGATCCCAGCTTTTGTCGAGCCAAGGAAATTCATTTACGACTTGGGCTTATGTTCAAAGTGAACACAGACTATGAGTCTAGTTTAAAGGTAGGTTGTTGGGTTTTTTCAAGATACAATGTTTCATTTTATGGTTTTTTGTTTTTGTTGTTCTTAAATATTAGAGCATTGAGAAATGTTGGAATTTATATTGCCACTTTAAAAGAAAATTTGAAAATTTAGGTGACAGAACTGTTTATCAACTGTGAACTAGAGTTTCAAGGTACAAAGTAGTTATGCTAAGACTTCCATGGTAACATTATACAATTACACTTAAAAAAATAGTTTTAACTAAGATCTGTCATCAGGAAAGGGTAAAGGTTTCAATCTCAATTTGTATATGTAAATAACTCCCCTAGAATGGATTTGCCACTATAGAGTTCAGAACCAGCTACTTAATGGATGTTTATCTGTGATCCAGTCATTGACCATATGTTTCCAAGGGTCACAGTAGAAATCGGCCCACCTCTACCAGCAGAAGCACACCTTATATCTAAATTAGAAAAAAGAGCGTTCTCTAAGGCATTTGGACTGTTGGTTTGTGAGCATAAACATTGTTGAGAAAAGATGATATGTTGATTAAAATAACTTCCTATCCATGGAAATTTGATATTTCTCTATTTTTTTCATTTTTCATTGAGTTTTTTATGCTATCTGAACCATCAATTTAGGTCTTGCTGGGGTTTTTCTGAAAATAGTATGTCCCTGCCCAACAGAGGACTTAACATTTTGAAAGGAGTAGCAGTTCTAGGAAAAAGTTACTAAGTTTTTGTGAATTTATGGTTATTGTTTATAATGGTTGTCGTATTCTGAATCTCCATTGCAGACTATCTTGATTCTAAAGGAGGGGTGGTTGGGGAGATAAAGAAAGATGTTTTGAGCTCACTAATAAGGAACTACTGAAGGTTTTTTTTAAAAAAACTGTACTCAAGAATATCTAATTGTTCTAGATTTTTAAAGTAGAAAACTATGCAAGTACTGTTTCTACCTTACATGAGTTAAAAGAACAATGCTGATGATGTGAAAGAGAGATACAACCCAAAACACTAAAAACAGTAGATTGCGAAGAGTTTAGATCACACAGTGGTTGAAGGTAAGTGCAGTCGAGGAATTAGGGTCCAGGGTAAGTGGAAGTAGTGTGGAGAATGAGGGATGCCTGGAAGTTACCAGTTTTCCTCAAGCTTAGAGTAGTAGCATTTCTGGCACCATTCTGTGGGACGTCAGTGAATGTGAACTGGAAGATAAGTTGCCTCACATTTTTTTGCAGTTTTATTAGCTATCAAAGACACTTAAAATGCCTTATAATATAGACTAAACATTTAAGCAATTTGCAATATTGTTAACAATATGCTTATTATGTTGCAGAAGTGTTTTTGGTAGCAGTTTGGTAAATGTTGCTTAGAAAATACATTTGAAGGAAAAAGCAAGCAGATATGTCCCAAATTATGGAATGTGACTATCCATGTATCAGTACAGTGATACCTTAAGTAATTCTAAAGATGCAAAGTTCCATTTAAATGGAGGTGGCGATATTTAAAATCTTTAATCAAGGGAAACAAGTGCTTCATGGCTGATTGAAAGTGTTCTACTTTACTTAGGCTTGGTGGGAACATTCCTGCATACCACTTTTATTTGTTCAGGTAGAAAGTCTAAAATGTCAAGTCATGGTGATCTTACTTAGCAAAATTGCTTTAACTGAGGACAGCCTTCTTTGGGGGGAATTTTTACCTTTAAAGAGTCCATGATATTTCTCGTCCCTATAGTGTGAAGGTTTCATTTGATTTTTATCTCTTCCTGATGTTGGCTTTTTCAGCCTTCTCTCTAGTATTCCTTATCTATTTTAAGAAGAATTTGGGCATCAACATTTTTAGTCAAAGAGGAGATATTTTAGTTTATTACTTAAGGGCTTAGCAATTCAGAGTGAGTGAAGGTAGGAATAGAAGGAATGATATCCCCCTTTAGGTGGTTTTCCATTTTTCTAATACCTCACCTTCATCTGGATAAATGTAGAACCTCTGATGATTTTTCCACTACATTATGCTGTTTTCTAGCACAGTGCTTTTTAGGCTGTAACCTCAGAAACTCCAACTCAAACTGTCTAAAATAATAAAAAATATGCTCATATGAGAAGTCTAGCCTTCAAGATTGGTTGATTCAGCTGATTCAGGGTTTCATCAAGGATTAATTTTCTTCTTAGTTCTGCATTGGCATTTTTTAAAGGCTGGTTGCTCTGTTTGATATAAGATGGTTGCCAGATGCAATCAAACTGAAATGCATACTTTTTCATATCTCATATAAAAAGATGTTATAGAGCAGTGGCTTAGGTGCTTAGTGTAATGCTGGCATATAGTAAGTGCACAATAAATGATGATGATCATCATTTTATGTAGGCGAAAGATCCTGGTTTCTTATTGATCTCTTCAAAAATACTTCACCTTGCATCTTACTGGCCAGAAATAGGCCACATGGCCATTCCTAATTGATTTCTTATCAAAGTTGATGTGGTTTTCTAAACCCGTTATGCCCAGTCTTTGAGCACTGTTCAAATCTGTAAATAAACAGTTGTCATCCAATGGACGGACAGGGTGAGTAAAAGGATATTCTAGTATGGGGAGTGGTGTGAATAATCTGTCCATTACAGATCAGATCTTCTTTACCCCATTTCCTTTCCCTCTGCCCAAGTATGTATAATGCTTTTTAGATGGTAAACTATTTAAATAAAATACAGTGTATTTTCATGATAGATTTCTTTTTTTCACCCACACACGAAATGCATTCTAGGACCTCCTGTTTTGTTTCTGTCACTGGTGATAACTTTCTCACAAAATGTGTCTCTGAAATTCTGTGTTGGTGCTATATAAACAGCTCTCAGAGCACAGAAATTTGGTTTTAAAAACTTTGACCCTGCCACACATCTATGTGACCTTGGGTATTCTTGATTTTCTCTGTGTCTGAAGAACTATAATAATTCTATCCACCCTGCATGATTGATATAAAGATGAATATATCTATGTACATATGTGTGTGTGTGTGTGTGTGTGTGTGTGTGTATGTATGTGTGTATGTGTGTGTGTTTAATTTTTATATCACTAGTTTTGGGGCAACAGGTGGTGTTTGGTTGCATGGAAAAGCTCTTCAGTGGCGATTTCTGAGATTTTGGTGCACCTGTCACCTGAGCAGTGTACGCTGTATCCAGAGTGTAATCTTTTATCTCTTACTCCCTTGCTCCCCTCCCCCCTGAATCCCCGAAGTCCATTATCTCATTCTTATGCCTTTGCGTCCTTATAGCTTAGCTTCCACTTCTAATGAGAACATGTGATGTTTGGTTTTCCATTCCTGAGTTACTTCACTTAGAATAATGGTCTCCAGTTCCATCCAGGTTGTGCGAATGCCATTATTTCCTTCCTTTTTATGACTGAGTAGTATTGCATGGTGTATATACCACATTTTCTCTATCCGTTTGTTGGTTGATGGACATTTAGGCTGGTTCCATATTTTTGCAATTGCGAATTGTGCTGCTATAAAGTGTATGCAAGTATCTTTTTTATATAATGACTTCTTTTCCTCTGGATAGATACCCGGTAGTGGGATTGCAGGATTAAATGATAGTTCTGCATTTAGTTCTTTAAGGAACCTCCACACTGTTTTCCATAGTGGTTGTACTAGTTTGCATTCCCACCAGCAGTTTTCATCACATCCATGCCAACTTATGTTATTTTTTAATTTTTAAATTATGGCCATTCTTGAAGGAGTAAGATGATATCGCATTGTGGGTTTGATTTGCATTTCCTTGATCATTAGTGATGTTGAGCAATTTTATGTATGTTTGTTGGCCATTTGTATGTCTTCTTTTGAGAATTCTCAATTCATGTCCTTTGCCCACTTTTTTGGTGGGTTTATTTATTTTTCTAGCTGATTCGTTTGAGTTCCTTGTAGATCTGGATATTATTCCTTTGTTGGATACCTAGTTTGCAAACATTTTCTCCCACGCTATTGGTTGTCTGATTATTCTGCTGATTATTTCTTTTACTGTGCAGCAGCTCTTTAGTTTAATTAGGTCCCAGCTATTTATCTTTTTTTTGTTGTTGCATTTGCTTTTGGATTCTTGGTCATGAACTCTTTGCCTAATGTCTAGAACAGTTTTTCTGATGTTATCTTCTAGAATTTATATTTTGCAAATAAATTGTTTCAACCTTTAGTCTCAGTTATCTACCATGTAAAACAACCATAGTTTGGGGTCAGCATAGGCCCTGTTGGAGAAATCAATTTTCCTGTCTTAAATTTTTTTTTTTTTTGAGATGGAGTCTCACTCTGTGGCCCAGGCTGGAGTGCAATGGCGCGATCTTGGCTCACTGCAACCTCCGCCTGCTGTGTTCAAGTGAGTCTGCTGCCTCAGCCTCCCAAGTAGCTGGGATTACAGGGGCCCGCCACTACACCCAGCCAATTTTTGTATTTTTAGTAGAGACAGGGTTTTACCATGTTGGTAAGGCTGGTCTCAAACTCCCAACCTCAGGTGATATACCTACCTCAGCCTCCCAAAGTGCTGGGATTATAGGCGTGAGCCACCACGCCCGGCTTAAAATTTAATCCTTGTATTTTTGTCTCTCTGCCCATCCTCAGAAATGTGAAGCTAATGCTCAGGAAACTTTATAATCATATGGTGTTATTTTTACATTAAATTGACCAATAAAGGTTTCATGTGTTTAGTGAGCGGTGGAGATACTAATTCTTAATATTTATGAGCTAGTTTTTTTTTTTTTTTTTGAGATGGAGTCTTGCTCTGTCGCCAGGCTGGAGTGCAGTAGGAAGATCTCGGCTCACTGCAACCTCTACCTCCTGGGTTCAAACGATTCTCCTGCCTCAGCCTCCTGAGTAGCTGAGATTACGGGTGCCCACCACCACACCCAGCTAATTTTTGTTTTTTTAGTAGAGATGGGGTTTCACCGTGTTGGCCAGGATGGTCTTGATCTCCTGACGTCGTGATCCGCCCACCTCGGCCTCCCAAAGTGCTGGGATTACAGGTGTGAGACACCATGCCTGGCCTCTGAAGT